AAAAATTAGGGCCTGTTTACTAACAGAGAAAATTTTCTAGTTTTCTATTTCTGTTTTTCGTTCTTCAATTTTCTGTTTTCATTTTCCATTTTTTCTATCTCCAATTTTTTGTTTTCATTTTTTAGTTTTCCATTTTCAAATATGAAAACATGTTCATACAATTTTTTCACCCGGTTCTCTAACCGACCAAAAGACCGAAAGTGCGATCCCAGTCCGGAACTGAACCTAGTAGAACCCAAGTAGGGAACTGGGTCCCACATATAGGAAAGTCGGGTCATTGATCAGACCGGACAGGGACCGTCGGGTCGTGGACTGGAACAGATAGGGACCGCCGGTTCGTGGACCGGGCCGGATAGGTACCATCGGGTCGTGGAATGGAACGGATAGGGACCGCCGTTTCGTGGACCGGGCCGGATAGGGACCGTCGGGTTATGGATCGAACCGGACATGGACCGGATAGGGACCGTCAGGTTGTGGACCGGACCGGACATGGACCTCCGGTTCGTCGACCGGATCGGGACCGTCGGGTCATCGACCGGACTAGGACCGTCGGGTCGTCAACCGGACCGGGACCTTCGGGTCGTCGATCGGACCGGGACCGTCGGGTCGTCAATCGGACTGGACCGGGTTTGCTTGGCCGTCGACCGGACCGGACATTATCCGCTGGGGTCAATGACCGGACCGGACTGCCGGGTTGTTGGCCGGACCAGATAGAGACCGTTGGGTCGTTGACCGGATTTTATTGGAACAAACACCGGAGGGGGACCGGATCCAACACTAGGTGTAAGTATGCAAATTCATTGCAGCGGCACTGCAGCATCCGCATTTTCCAAATTTGGAAAACTAGTAAAAGTCATTTCTCCAATTCTTTAAGCAAAACAGAAACATCTCTCTTTTTTTTGTTTTGGAAAACGATTTGGTAAACACAATTTTCTGTTTTGCTTTCTCTAGTTTTTCAGAATTTTTTTTTGGTAAACACATTTTCTGTTTTCCAGTTTTCTAGTTTTCTGAAAAACTGGAAAATATCTTTGTTAGTAAACAGACCCTTAGTTTTGCATTCAAGTTTCTTAATTATTAAACTATCATCTGAATTAAGGATGTGATTTGTTCTATTTATTATTTTTTTAATACATCAGAAAAGAGATTTTTCCTTTTGGTTGTGATATCATGTATCGATTCATGTTAGCCGACCCCAATATCTTTTGGGACTAAGGCTTGAATGTTGTTGTTGTTGTATCAGAAAAGAGATTTGTTCTATTTATTATTGAAGATGAGTTAGTACACGATTTAGCTTCCTTACTAGACAGTAGAAACTATTACTCAACTTGGTCCTCAACTATGCAATTTGAACAAATTTAGTTTCTTATGCAGTTACGGTTCCTGTTAATATATTTAGAATTTGTAAATTTAACGTTGCACTTGTATAGATTCCTTAGGCTGTGTTTTCTTTCTCTTGTTGTCTACTTGTCTTGCCTTTCATATCCGTGCAACCAAGACCCTAAGTCCTTGTTTGGTTCAAAGGAGGAGAGGGAAGGAAAGGGAAGGGGAAGGAAGGATTTTAATAAAAATTTGTGTTTTGTTGGAGGAAATAGGAGTAAAGGTTTAATGATTTTTTCCCCCCAATTTACCTTTATTTGATAGCTTACTTAAAAAACTAGATACATCTCTAACTATTGTGAATATTACTCCTAAGGTCATGAGTCATAATATTTTTTTTTTTGAATTTTTGATTTTTTACTTTTTTAATTTTTTAAATTTTGATTTATAATTTTTTTAATTTTTAATTTTTAATTTTAGAATTTTCCATTTTTGAATTTTTGAATTTTCAATTTTTGAATTTTTCAATTTTTGAATTTTTCAATTTTGATTTTTTTTTTTCAATTTTTATTTTTAAATTTTTAGATTTTTTACTTTCTTAAATTTTAATTTTTTTATATTTATAATTTTTTAGTTTTATATGACTGACAAACTGTGAGCATAGATTGCATCCTGGAGGACCACACTGAGTCCAAAAGAATGTTGAAAGAACCTAATGTTAAGTGTAAAGTATGACTGAGGTCTGGAATGAGTCCAGTCTAAACTCTAAACTGCATAGTTCATGCCCAGATGGTGAAACTTGAAAACCAAAGTGCGTTAACATTATATAGTCATGGGATTATGTTGTGCTTCGTATAATTTTTGAAGAACCTCAAATGTTTTGTTAACTAAGACAACAAAAAAGAAAATTCCTACAGTTGGAGCAAAACATACCTAAAATGCAAAAATAGGTGTTGGTGTTTAAATAGGGGTAATACTTTGTGGTTGGACAAAAACAACCTTGTAGGGTTTGAAGCTATTACATATTGCCACCAGATAGCTGTCGGACGATGGATATCCGCCGCTGCCACCCGTAGCCACCACCTAAACTCTAACTATACACACTACAAAGCCTGAGATTATTTTCTTGTTTCTGTTTGGAATAGTTACAAACTGAAAACTGAAGTGTTACTGTCTAACCGTTTGACACCTGAAAGCTATCGAAAAATCTTTGTAGTTCTATTTTATTTTATCTGTGCTGAATTTTTAATTTTTATAGAGCCGAACTTGACAAGAGGCGGGTGGAGAAGCAACATCTGGAAGAAGAACGTAGGCTGGAGAGCATGGAGAAGCTGAGGAGAGACATGAATAGTTCGAGGGGAGAAACTGTCGTCTTGAACACCGGTTTAAAGGATAAAAAGGGAAAAAGTAGCAGCATGGTGGATGAAGAAGAAGATGAAGATTCTGATGAAGATTTTGAGAGATTCAATGATGATGATGATGATGATGATGATCTCATAAGTGAAAACGATGAATAAGTTGCAAGTTTCCATTGTGAGAAGGTAAATGTGGTGTTACATTTTTGTTTTCTGGGTCAAAACATGCTTCACTGCGTGTGTATATTACTGACATGATGAAACTGAACTGGACCAGCTGGTTTTTCTTTCCTTCCCCAGCAGAAGGCTCTTTTTAATGACGTAGGAAACTATGTCTTAAAAACGATTTTAAATCAAATATTGAACCCTGCAATATTCACATTGACATAGTACTGCAGAAAGAGGGCATTTAGCTTACTTTCATATCAAGTGATGCATATGCAACCATTTCAAAGTTGTGTAGCATCTTGCACTTTAATACATCCCGTTATGATCTGTAAAGACTGTAAAAATTGGAAATGGATTGCAAGAGGGAATATTATCAATTTTTTTCCGGACGAATTTATATAGACCAATTCTTCAAACTGAAGTACGTAAAGCATCTCAGACTCCTCAAACTATTACTCCCTCCGTCCCGGAATTATCTTCATTCTTTCCTTTTCGGTCCGTCCTAAATTTATCTCCTTTTTCCCTTTTGGTAAAGAATATGTGGTTCACAATCATTCTTACACATTTCTCTCCTCTGCATAACTCTTCATCACACAAATTCCACTATCTTAAAACCCGTGCCCGGTCAAAACCGGAGTTAAATATGGGATGGAGGGAGTATTCCAGACAGTGGTAATACAGCACCCTTGTGAGAACTTGAATATTATTCAAGTTCACCATTTTTGGTATAGTACATCAGAAAGGAAATTAAAAAAGTTCACCAAGTATTCAACTTTATATTAAATTTAATTTGTATTATTCAAAACAATTACAAAGTATTACCTTTCTTAATAGAGTTTGTATTCTGTATAAAATTCAACAAATTTGAACCAAACTATGTAATATAGTTACAACAATTAATAGTGATCACTACAAGTCTACAACCATTGATATGGTCATTGCATCATTGGCTATGTAGCTCAACTGATTAAAATGATTAAAAGGGTGCCAATAAATGTAGACATGGATCCAAATCATCCAATTACTCCAATTGCATTATACGTAGTAGTTAACTTTGCTTAAAAAGTCTTTGTAAGAATGTTTTTAATTGGACTGTATTTTCCGATCCGTTAACTCGTGGAAAGGAGACGATCGACATGTGAGGAGGCGTTCGATGCCAGCGGCGGAGGTGGGCTGGGGGGTTGGCAAGCAGGTTTTGCCCCTCCAGATTTTAAAATTCCTCGTATATTTAGTGTGAAAATGTATGTAAAATTTATCTAAAATTATTACACCTGACTACGTCCCTGTTCGATATGCGATGGGTACTTGAGCATCTCCGGCGACCTAAGTTGAGAGAAGAAAGAAGAATGGGGAGAAGAAAGGTGGGTGGAAGAAGAAGGTGGCTGGAGTTTGCTAGAACGGGCGGGTGGAAGCTAAATCAAATGGTAGAGAAGTAAAAAGAAAGAAAAAAGTGAAAACATCCATGTGAGAGAAAAAAGTGAAAATATCCATTAGGGGTGGGCAAAAGACCCGGTCCCATTGGTCCGTTCCGGAACGTTCCGATTTCGTTCTGAAATTGTCCCGTTTAATTCGGGACAAACTATTTTTGTTCCGTTCCGGTCCCGAACCGTTTCAAAACAAAACGAGATCGGGACAAATAAAATATGTCTCGTTCTGTCTCGTTGTCCCGAATTCAAAATTGTATATAGTTGTGGATTAGTGAGTCTACCATCAATTCAAATATTAATGAATATTAATTAGGTATTAGTTATCTAATATGTAAAACACCTAAAGGAGTCTAAATTATCAAGTATATGAACTATCTTCTACATACTAAAAGGAAACTCACGTATACTCCACATGTTTCACTTCTAATAATAATGTCTCTTTTTTTATCTTTGCAGTTTCTTGGTAGTATTGTGTGTGTTGGAGTTATTGTTGTTGTTACAGTTTGTTTCGTGCAACTATCCTATTAATCTACTATTTTTTGTGTTGCATTTATCGTAAAAAAAAATTATGTTGCATTTTTAGTGTTGTAGTTTTTTGTCATGAAGTTTATTTTGGAGCTGTATTTTTTCCACTGCAATTTTTTTGGGATGTCCCGAACCGTCCCGTTCTCTTCCGGTACCGGTTTAAAAAGAACAATAGCGAGACAATGTCTTGTCCCGTCGTGTTCTGTCCCGTTATCCTAAATAGGGTTCGGTACCGGGATCGTCTAATTTCCGTCTCGTCCCGTCCCGTGCCCACCCTAAATTATCCATGTGAGTCGCTGTGTATACAATAATCAGCTAACAAAGTAAAAAGAAAGAAAAAAGTGAAAATATCCATGTGAGACGGTGTGTATAATCAGCTAACATGTTCGTTATCAGATAGAAAGCTGTTTGAATGTTTTTTAAAAAATTGAACTGCTTAATTGAGTGATAATTGAATTGAGATTAGAATTTAGTTTTTCCTAATACCAAGAGCTTATTTAACACTTATTTCATTCTTTATATTCAAATGTTGTGTGATGATCGATGAAATAAGAATGAACCCAACAAAGTAATACAGAGTAATTTTGTTGGAATTAGCAAATGTTTATAAAAATTATGGAAATGTACGTTGATGTAAAATCACATCCGGATGAATGATACTCCATATTATTTACCCAAATTTGCATCTATATCATACTTCCTCCGTCCCAAATTTGCAAATTCAACATTTTTTAATCTTAAAATTTTAGTAATTAAAATTTACATATTCAAAAACTAAATTAAAATTTCTATATAGTTGCACAACTCAAAATAAAATATAATTAAAAATTGATATCCGTGAATAAAATGAAATTGTTTAACAAAAATAATTGACTTTCCAAATCAAATTTGAAGGATATACTATTTATTTATTTAATTTACTATTTATTTATTTAATTTATTTAATCTATAACAATAAATTAAAGTACTAATTGAAAAATATAATGTTGTACGGAGTCGCTAATAGCTTAGGCAGGCAATAGGGCGGCGTTGACGGACAATTGCGTGTGCGTGGACTTGGGTGCTGCCGCCACGACCACAACTCAGCGCTTTAATCACCCACCACAGCCCCTTTTCTCTACCGCCATGAGATGACGACGGTGACGGCATTTCACGGCGGCTCTGCCTGATCCTCAACTCCCTCAACTCCATCTCTTTTGGAAGCCCACCCATTCCGAAGAAGAAGAGAAACCATCTCGACCTCCAGAACCGCGGGGGCGACAAAGATTCTGCCGATTCCCTCATTCCGACAACCTTGGACGAATCTCCATCATTCTTGGACGATGATGAAGACCCATTTCTTTGCTTGCTCTTTACTCTTTTCCCATTATCCTTTTCTGGGACAATTCCAACCTGAGGAATGATAAGCTTTCCGAAGAAGACGATTTGTTCAGGGGGGAGATTCGATTTGTTACTGCTCCATTCTTCACTGAAGAACTCAAAGAAGTGGTCGGACGGCAATGTTGAAGACGAGGAGACAGAGCTTTGTGAGGAGAACTTCTCCCAATCCGACGAAGAGCTGCTGCTGTATATCGGGAGATCGCATAAGGAGAGAGTTTCTTCTTCTTCATCTTCTTCTTCTCGAGCATCATGTTTACTCATCTTCATTTTCTTCTGCTTTTCTTTTATGCCGGAGAACTAATCACTCAGCCATATACATGCACATATGACGGAGTTCTTTAAAATATTTGAAGATACAAACAAGATTTTGGGCACGAAGGAGACCTATATAGTTAAACTATAATGAAATGTACTCCATAATATGCCCTCCCCTCCCATATTTATATGCTCCAATCGTTCCTAAAACAAAGTCCCACTTTCAATGGAAGTTCCTAAATTAAAGTCTCACTTTCTAAACTTTCTTATTTGATAAACAAATCTATATTAAACAGTATCAAACAATGCAAAACAATGTTAAACAGTGTTGCTAAACTGTGAAGTCAAATTAATTTCCTTAATATGTGTGAGGTCAAACTGAGACATTGATTTTTTAGAGACGGAGGGAGTACTACGTAGTGTATTAGTACCCAGTACTACTGTACGTATATAGTTGCAACATACGATCGAATTATATTTTGGAACGGAGGAAATATATATGTGACTTTTTAGACTCGAAACAATTTTTACTTTTATTACACTGTAAGTTCTTTTTCTTATAAAGATGTGTTTACTTGGATTCGTTCAAGTCTTAAACTAAATTAGACATCGACAGTTATAAAATAAACAGAGACCAGTCATTTACCAGACTAAAGGAGACCCGTTCGGACATGATCGGACTAGACTGACTAGAAAATTTCAGCACATGTAAAAACATTATAATACCTAATACCCAAATATGATATTTGATACCTAAATACACAAATTAATGGGGAAAATAATACAAATATCTCAAACTTTGAATGAATGTGAGATAAATATCTCAAACTTGCATATGTAATAGAGATATTTAATTTACGTCTCTTATTACTAAAAGAAGCTATTTTTCCCAATATATGACTCCATAAGTTTTTTTTTCTATTATCATACCTAAATATGGTGCATGGTCATTCTCATATTTGTTAATCTTTATTTAATTCCACCGTTAACTCAATTTTAACAAGTAACCAATTCATCCTAAAATTATGGAAGTAACTTGCATGAATAGTGATTTGCACGTTATAGTCATACTAAGGTAAAAGAAATATGGTTAGTCATATTATGGGAAATTGGGAATTAACATGAGTTTTAGTAATATATAGATAAATTTCTCTATGTAATATATATATCCCGAACTTTAAACAAAAGTAATTTTCGCACCATTATTATATACTACGTATTTTTTTTACGAATATAAATTAAGAGCAATAAGTACATAGTTTAAAATACTCTAAATAATACTCTAAGCTTTATTAGGATGCACTAACATTCCAAAATTTCATTTGTGATATAAATAATATTAATCCGGTACAATCTAACATTCTAAAGTGTTTTGTGTATTTCAAATTATGTACTTAACATCATAAAATTACATTTATGAAAAAACATATGATCATAGCTAGTGCTAACATAACTTTTTATATAAAGATTGCAGTATATATATTACATGTGCAAGTTTAAGGTATTTACCTTGCACCCCTTCAAAATTTGGGATATTTAAGTTATTTCCCCCAAATTAATATGATCTTTCATACTACGTATACAATTCTTCATCATTTTCCCCTACTTTTTAGTTTTATTTTTTTTTGCACTATTCATGACTCTTAGGATGTTTTTACTTGGACTGTAATTTGCTGGTCTGGTCTAGTCTGGTCTGAAATGGTCTGATCTGATATGGTCTGGTTTCTTTGTATTTTTATAACTATCCAAGTTTGGTCTGGTCTGAACTGGTCTGGTCTGATCTGGTCTGGTCAGGGAGAATTACAGTTCAAGTAAAAACATCCTCAGTATATGACTCTTAAACTTTAATCAACTATGTACAAATTAAATACACGGGAAATTACCTTAAATAGGACTAAAAACGTTTGTGTATTCCAAAATAGGACCGTCATGTATTTATTCTCTAAATAGGAGTAATTAATGTCATGTTTTGACAATGCCGAACTTTAAAAATGACAGTATTTTCCAAATTTGACAGTAGAAATTATTAAACTACTTAATTTGGCCGTATTTATGGATTCATTTTACTCATGTTTGTGAGGAAAAAAAACAGTGGTGCCTTTTGTCCTATTTGAGACAAAGTACTAATTAATATTTTGAAACGTAATTTTGCGATAAAATTTTGCATCTCCAATAAGTTCAACACAACTCTTACAAAGAAGAGAAAAGGAGAAAGCGAAGACTAGTATTCATTGGAATGGGGAAAATGCATGCAATAGACTTTGTAGACTCGAGGAAGAAACAATTAATACTCCGCATAGAAGAATGCATAAATTAAAAGTAAGGTGAATTTTCCATGCATCTAGAAACATGTTTCCTAAAAATCAACCTTCCTCAAGAGTCAGCACCCGCTCCATGCATCTAATGTAACGTTTTCTTTTGAAAACTAGTGTGATTTAGATAATTAGCTAATAATTAGAGTTTGATTTGCTCAATCTGTACGAGTGTGGAATTTAAATAAAAAACTACAATTTGAAACTTTAATTAAAGTGCATTAGTTCTTAAGTTATGGATCATTTTTGTGGCGGTTATTTCAGAAGCGTCACAATTGTGTATCGCAAATTGACGTTTTTTCCACAGCTATATTAATATTTGTGTGGTTTAATTTCGAGTGTTGATAAAAGTTGGGTCAAAGGACATGACTATGGCATGGTGTTCCAAATATGGGTGCTCATCGAAGATTTGAATGCCACCCTATCCATCACGGCATCAGTCGTTAGACTGATTAGAGGGTTCTAACTTTATGAGTTTTATGAGTGATTATAGTCGGGTAATTTTCTTTTTACAGATTATTAAACTTTATCATATACTTTATGAGTTTTATGAGTTTTATCACTATATTTTTATAGTGAATTTATAGTGAATCATCTCATTCTAAAAATGAATGATTCGTGTGAAGTCTCATATACACTATGACTCCAGAGTGGAGTTATGACTCCATAAAGTACTTTTTTGAAGTGATTTTGGACACCATCTTAATGTCCAAAACCAAGCTTCAAACATCAAAGCCATCACATTTACAAAGGAATGTGTAAGAGCTCTTCCCGGAACCATCCTAACTGATGAGGGGTATGTCTTTACTTCATCTTTCTTTGAATTACCATACTATTTGCTGTTTATTACTAGGTACACCCCAAGGGAGCCAAAGAAAACACATTTGGCCGAGGCTAGGAATGCAAAGAAGAATGGGAGGAGGACCACCGCAAAATCCTTTTAATGATCGTGTCCTCATGGAATGTCCGAGGCCTTAATAAGGTCTCCAAACAAAACCTTATCTTTAATTTTGTGAAATCTAATAATGTACATATTTGTTGCTTACTTGAAACCAAAATGAACACTCCAAACTTTGACAAGTTTTTAAGTTGTAAATGGCCTTCTTGGTCATCTATAACTAACTTTGATAAGATTGATGGTGGTCGTATTGCTGTTTGTTGGGATCCCAATTATGTTCAAACTAATGTGCTTGAAATTGATAAGCAACACATTCATTGTGAGTTTAAATGCTTGACTACTCAACTTGTCTTCTATGTCACTTTTGTGTATGCTTTATATTCGGTTGTAGAGAGGAAAGTCCTTTGGGATCACATTGCAAATTTGGATCCCACTATTGACAGCCATTGGCTTGTAATGGGGGATTTCAATTGTGTATGTAGCCCCAATGAGAGGGTGGGGCCTACCCCCCCTCGGCTTACCAAATGCAAGGTTTAAATGATCTTAAAGTTCAAGCTAATTTAGTTGACACTCCATCTACGGGTGAGTTCCTTACTTGGAATAGAGGATCCCTATGGGCAAAGCTTGATAGAGTCCTTATGAACCCTTTATGGGGCACTCATGGGATTTCTTGTACAACACATTTTAATGATATGGAGGTTGAGTTTGACCATGTAGCTTCTATAGTTACTATTGGTCAAACCAACAATTTTGGCTCTAAACCTTTTAAATTTTTTAACATGTGGCTTAAGCATGAGTCTTTCAAATCTACCCTTACTTCCTCATGGTGTAGGGAGATCTATGGAAGCTCTCAATTCATTTTGGCCCAAAAGTTGAAGTATTTGAAACAACCTCTTAAAGAGTTAAATAAAAGGAATTTTAGCCACATCTCCGAGAGGGTCAAGGACTCGAAAAAGGAATATAAAGGGCTCCTTAGCCTTTCTATACTTTCCCCTTTAGATGAGACCCTTAAGTTGGATATTGCTATTTGTAAGAAAAAGCTCATTAACCTTAAAAAGGCTGAGGAGGATTTCTTTAGACAAAAAGCTAAAGCCACACATCTTGGACAAAGTGATAAATGTATCAAATATTTTCACTCTATTGTTAAAAAGAACAATGTTAGGAACTCCATTACAGCTCTTAAGCTTCCTAATGGTGATCCTACTACCTCTTTAGACCAAGTTGCTTGTGAATTGGTTAACTTTTACACATCTTTGTTCGGCACTCACTATCCAAATGCTCATTTGGACCCAAATATTGTGGCTTCAGGTAACACCTTACCACCTAATCTTAAAGACAGTTTGGTTGCACCCTTTTCTGACCTTGATATCAAGGAGGCTTTGTTTGATATAGGTGATAATAAGGCCCCTGGCCCTGATGGGTTTACCTCGGCCTTTTTCAAAGAAAACTGGAATATTGTTGGAAATGATATGATTAGGGTTGTGAAGGTTTTTTTTTTGTTCTGGCAGGCTTCTAAAGCAACTCAACCACACGGTTATTGCTTTGATCCCTAAGACCACTCACTCCCCTACAGTAGCTGATTTCAGACCAATTGCTTGCACAAATGTTATCTACAAAGTTATCACTAAAGTCTTGGCTAAGAGGTTGATTCCTTGTTTGCCGGACCTTATTGATCCTGCCCAAGGGGCCTTTGTGGATGGAAGACTTATGATTGATAATGTCTTTATTGCCCAAGAATTGGTCAAAGGCTATACCAGGAAAAGAATCTCCCCTAGATGCATGATTAAGATTGACCTTAAGAAAGCCTATGATACCATATCTTGGGAGTTTCTGGCTTCAATGTTAACACATTTGGGATTCCCTAGGAGATTCATTGGATGGATTATGGAGTGTGTCACTACACCCTCCTACTCCATCTCAATAAATGGAGTTCTCCATGGTCATTTTAAAGGGAAAAGGGGATTGAGGCAAGGGGATCCCATGTCCCCCCTTCTATTTGTGCTCTGTTTGGAATACTTATCAAGATTGTTGAATGTAAGAACACAGGATTCATGCTTTAAGTACCATCCAAAGTGTGGCAGCTTAAAGATCTCCCATGTTGCCTATGCGGATGACTTAATGCTTTTCTCAAAAGGGCATAAACCATCAATTAAGATCCTTGTTGACTCCTTGGAGGAATTTGGCAGAATTTCGGGCCTCAGAGTTAACTATGACAAATCAAATATCTTCCTTGGAGGTATGGCTGATTATGAGCTGAATAGTATCCTTGAATTGGTGGACTTTAAAGCTGGAGCTTTTCCTGTCAAATACCTTGGGGTTCCCTCGGCCCCTCTAAAGGTATCTGTGGCACAATTTGCTCCCCTTCTTGACTCTGTAACTTATTTCATTAGTGCTTGGAATCTCAAAACGCTTTCATATGCTGGTAGGATTGAGCTTATTAAGTCTGTGATACAAGGGGTCCACTCTTTTTGGCTCCAAATTTTTCCTATCCCTAGAACTATACTTGATAGGATTACCTCTATCTGCCGTATTTTCCTTTGGGGTGGTAAGTACTCCAGGGTCTCCTGGGCTGATATTTGCCTCCCTAAGGATGAGGGTGGACTTGGGATTCATGATACTAGAGTTTGGAACTCTGCCCTACTTGCTAAGATTTTTTGGGATATACATACCAAGAAGGATACACTTTGGGTTAAATGGGTTCATGGAGTGTATCTAAATGGCCGGGATGTGTGGGATTTCTCCCCACATCATAGGGACTCACATTTAATGAAAAAGATGGCCTCAATTAGGGATGAATTTTTGGGGAAATTTGGGGGAACCGTAGCTGCTATTCAGGGTTTAAATGCTTTACAATTCAATGGTAAGCTTAGTTCTTCCAAAGTCTATAATTTGCTTAGAACTAAAGCTCCCCGCCGTTGGTGGATGTCATTTATTTGGAAGAATTATATTCCCCCCAAGTTTTCCTTTACAACTTGGTTGACATTCCGAAATAGGTTGGCTACATATGACAATCTTCACCGATTAGATGTAGTCAACGTATGTGCTTTGTGCAAGGGTGGGCTGGAAACAGTCCCACACCTATACTTTGAATGCCCTTTTATAGGTAAAGTTTGGAGCTTGGTGAAGGAGTGGTTGCACATCCCACGGCTTATGGGGTCTTTGACTAGCGCTGTCAAGTGGCTAAAGAAGGAGAGGAGTGGAGCAACCATTCAAGCAAAGGCAGCTAGGATCGCTTTTTGCTTCTCAATCTACTGGATTTGGAGGATCAGGAATGCAACAAGATTTGATGGACTCCTACCTAAGGAAGAAGAGGTTTTTGAGAGGATAAAGTACATTGTGTACAAAGTTTTGTATAATATTTATCCACACGAGTTGGTGGTTTTTTGAAACTTTGTGACCCCTTATTTTGTTGGCTTATAGTTGCTGGGGGTTAGCTTAAGTGGCAGCTATTGCCTTGGCTACTTAGGTAGCTGCTTATAGTTTTTGGAGGTGATGGGTTATCCAATCTTTGGATAGCTTGCAATTTTGCTCACCCTTTTTGATGTACATAAACTCTTTGGATGGTTCCATATATATACTTACTGTTCATCCAAAAATTGAAGTGATTTTGAAAAAAGTGACTAATAAAAGTTGTAAGTGTTTGAGAAAAAATGATTTTAAAAAGTAAAAGTTGTACTGTTTGATAAATTATGTATTTTTTGTGTAATAGAAAAAGTAAAATGCAATTTTCACCCAAAAGCCGAGAAACGCTGTTTTCAGTAGAAGTTATTATTTGAAAATATCAATTTTAACAATTTTTAAATCAAAAGCTGAGAGACACTTTTTTTAACTATTGCAAATAGACCCTAAATATCTGGTTGATATGGCCTATGGGTAATTGCGTCAACGTGCTACATGCTTGTATTATTATTGAAAAACACACTCAAATACATCATCATTAACGTGGAATATTAATCATCGCGGCCTCTAAAAAGGATGACACCCCATCCCTGAGAGCCCCCAACACCGACCAGACGGTACGTTAGGAGGATGTAAACTGGACTATAATCACAATCTAACAGATAGAGAGTGAAGCTCTATCCCTGGTACTTTCAGAGGCCCTATACATTTTTACCATAGTAACTTCTCATCGCAGTTGTCGGTAGGGCTGTAAACGAACCGAACTTTTATCGAACTATTCGAGTTCGAGCTCGGTTTCGAACCTAACGAACCGAGCTTAACGAGCTTTCGAACTCGAACCCGAGCTGAGTTTTAAGTTTGAAAACTTAATCGAATCGAGCTCGAACATAGTAGTATTTGGCTCGGTTCGAACTCGAGCCTATCGAACACCTGGAATTTAAATATAATTTATATATATTTCAAAATTTAAATATAATTAGTATGATTTTTAACGAACCGAATACGTGTCGAATCATTCGAGCACGAGCCTATTAACGGACATCACCTAAAATTTTAAATTCAAGTATATTTATCGAGCTTATCGAGCGCTCGGTTCGAACATCGAACGCCTGACGAACCGAACACGAGCCTCGTTTGTAAAGCTCGTCGAGCTTCGAGCTCGAACCCGAACACCACTAATTCTTTATCGAGCTGAATTCGAGCTTTGGGTGTTCAGGCTCGGCTCGACTCGTTTACAGCCCTACTTGTTGGGACCTAACCCTTGTGGCACTCCCTCGCTACCAGTTCAAGTACGCCCACTGGTAACGCGGCATCTATGAATCTATGATATTAGATCGCGAAGACCGGACCGGGAGTTGCTTCATTATCAAATTTTATTTTATACACATACATAAAGAAAATAAAAATGAAAACTGCACTTTCTCACATATAGTATCACATATTATAATTAAATAATCTAAATACGATATCTAATTACTACATAATACGGAGTATTTAATTTTTTTTAATACAACTCTAATTCAAATAAATAAAATACAAATACAAATACTAATCCATTCATCCCGTTTTGCAAAATACACTTTCATCCTACTTTTTCTTACTTAATGATAACACAAGATTTGCTCTCCTTACATAAAGTATATCTTACATAATGAGACGGAAGTAACATGATATATTGATATTCGGTTGGAATAATGTTCAAATATATTTGAATTACATGCACTGATGCATGCACACATATTTAGTATTCTGTATAAATAAATACTCAGTCTAACATAATGTAAACTAATTCACTTAAGTTTGAAGATATGGTTCATTTTTTATGTTAATATTTTTTTCTTAGTCACCGATCCTGTTAAAGATAATGATGTCTAATATTCGATATTGGCTTCAATTCGAATAAAAACATTTAGGAATTTTCTAAAATAAGAATGATATGTTTTTATTATCTAAATCAGAGTAATTAGTGCAATTTTTTAAAAATACTGCCATTTACTGCCATGATATTTAAACCCAATAATGTCAAAATATGGCACTAAATTTTTAAGATGACAATAATGTAGTCCTACTTAGGAAAATAACATAGCAACCCTATTTTTGAATTCCTAAACATTTTATCCAATTTTCACTTGGCAAATCTCAGGTATGGACAATCCGGATCTTGCCCTAGTAATACATTCCCATTATATGTACGCACTTCAAATTCATACGCCAGTGAAACTTAGTCAATGAAATAAAACAAAAAGAAATTGAAAAAATAAGGGAAAAAAGAATATTTGTGAAAGCCCATTCTCTTAAGCTTCAAGGCCCACTCTCCAAAGCCTGAACAATGAATGGAGCCTCTCTACTAGAACTTCTCAAACTTGGATAAACTTAAGCACTGCAGAGGCATCAATAGCTTTGAAATCCTTCACAGATTCAAAGACAACAATCCCAAGTTTCACAGCTTCCTCATTGCTTGGTGCCTATGTGTTTTCAAAACAAGGACTCTGAATCAGTTCAAAGCTTCCTTCCATATTTCTCTGATACTCATCCATAATAGTACCAATTTCGACAAGGTACAAACCCCTAAATGTCATGTTGTCGCATGGAAAACTAGTACTGTTCAATGGAATTTGATTCTTTTTTCGACAAAACCATTTCATTTCATTTTCATTTACCCCAGTGCCGCAAAGGCTCCCACCTACGGTGGGGTAAGGGGGGGTCAGATGTACGCAGTCTTACCCCTGTACTAAAGCACAGAGAGACTGTTTCCGGATCACCCATAGTGAAAATCGTGTCCAAAATTGCATGGACTAACTGCTGCTCCATAACAAAGAAGCGCAGACAGTTTAGTGAGCCATTTTGTTTTATTCCATCATAATCTCAAGACAAAAAAAATGAATCTTTGGCTCCATTGCAAATGATGGAAATATCTTTTTTCGACAAAACCAATGTTTAAAAATGAGTGCATGACCCTTCACAGCAATGAGGGAATAAATATTGTTGAGAAGTCACATTAAAAATATAGCTAATATACCTCGATGTTAAGAGGCAGGACAGGATCATGAAGGGAGAGTCTCAAAAGGAACCACCCACCATAGCCAGCAACTCTAACCTGTTGACATTCAAAATTTAGTATGATGTAATATTATGCCTCATAAGTGCTTGTAACAAGAAGCGCATCCAATTTAGAGCTGGCAGTATTGACCATAGAGTCAAATTAAGAAACAAATTTACCCCTTCATAGTTAACAGGGGCCTTTTGAAGAAGGTTTGAGTCAGCAGCGTCTATAGTAGCCTCCAAGTGTTTTAGAACTACCTCTCCGTAATCCCGGAAGGATCTGAAGGTGAGAAAACAGCGTTGTTACTAAAGTAGAAGATATGTGTGGCCGGTATATGAAAAAAGGCATTTTAGTTCCATATATACCCTCCTCTAAGATCTGGATGATTCTGATCAATTTTCAGTCTCAATTCAACAGCAATACCGGGTTCTTCAAGACCATCTACCAAGTCGGTTAAGACTTCACTACCACCACCTTTTCCAGATGCTTTCGCTAATGCAAGTTTATTAAGTAGCTTAACCTGCAAGAGTGGCGGGAGTTCAGTACTAATGTTTTTTAAATTTAACTATTAAAATTTAACAGAAGAAGTAAACTTAAACAGATTGTTATCAATCATGACGTCTTGGACCCTGGAAAATACTACAGAAGGGGTGGGTGTTATAAGTAAGTCTTTTATCATATGTTCTGGTTCTACTTTGATAACTGCATAAAAAACTAAACATGTTAATGGTTTTCATGAGTTCACATATGTTTGAAGTTCTTGGCATTTTTAGATCCCAGAAAATAAATAAATACATCGAGTTTGAACTTTGAACCAATATCATTAAAAATATTACTATTGAGTTTGAATCCAATGTTTTATGTTCCTCCAAACTTCCCATGTTATATTTCTCCCTGTGTTTTCCTTTAGCATTTTCTGAGTTCTGAATCAACCATAAGAAAAACAGGACATGAGAGACAAAAAAGGTCATCAAACTGATACACCCAAAGACGGTGTTCAGATGAAGAGAAATATACCATCAGGTATGCGCCATCATCAAGCCAGTGATTCTCCTTGAGAGCTCCATGTCCACTGGTTTCAATAGCCAAATGTGATCCCTCTCCAATAGAGTTCTGTCATAGTTACACCAGGCAAACTTCAATCACAAAGAAACTTATGTCTGCCCAAGGTTCAAAGAAACTGTACATAAACTATTGACCAATAAAGGTAAGATACACTGTCAAATTATTTTGCATATCCTTTTGCATTTTAGATCATGAGATGCAAAGTCATAATTTTCCTAATATAAAATGAATTATTTAAAGACTGTACCAATCGAATAGCTTCATCAATGACATTCTTGTAGCCTCTTTTGAACCTGTGGTGTTTCCCCCCTGTGGAAATTGTTTGAGATATAATCACGTTTGAAAGAGAAATATAACTGCAAATGGCTATTTCATCTCACCTAATTTCTTTTCAATGAAAGTTGTCAAGCCCTCTGAAGTCACACTATCGGTCACAATTGTTGTGCCAGGATACTATTAACAAACACAGCAGCTGTAAGATACCAGAAGAAGCAATGACAGGAAGAACTTGACTAAGGGTTTGTTTGGATGGAGAGATTTTTAGGAGAAGGAATTGGAGGCCTAGTTTACATCCATAAATACAAAGTGTTTAAAGTGAACTGGAACGTTAAATAATAACATGTGATGTTAAATCCTTCAATTTTTGGTAACAAATCTAAATTATATATCAAGATGTAGGCTAACTCTTCAGCGTCTTCCCCTCCAAAACCCTACATCCAAACAGACCCTGAGAAGACAAATTTACCTCCTCCAAAACAATAGCAGACATCAAAGCAATTAACCGGTTCCGGTTGAACTCACGACCACTTGAATCAACAGCAGCGGATCTGACCCCACACCCTCAAGTTTATATCAGAAAAGAGGCTACTCCATTACCACGAATATATATATATATATATATATATATATATATATATATATATATATATATATATATAGGGAAGAGTTCAAATAAAAAGACCTCTTCCCGTGCAAAGTGCGAAGATATGCACTTTTGCGTGTTTCTGTTGCACTTTTTCGCGGTAACGAAATAGTTCAACATATTTACGAAATTTCCACCGCGATTTTGGTCGAATTTTATGCATTTTTGGCTTATTTTGAGCCATTAGATGTGGAAATGAATGCACAAGATTCATTCTCACTTTGCATGGGAAGAGGTCTTTGTATTTGAACCATCCCATATATATATATATATATATATATATATATATATATATATACACTCCCTCCGTATGCTTTTGTTTGCTACACTTTTTTCAAGAAGTATTTTAATTTTTGCTACACTTTCCCTTTTCGTAAGTTTACTCTTAAAAAATACTCAATTACCCTTACTTTTCTACTTTTTCATCTTCTCTTTCATACTTTCCCACCCTCTCCCCTACTTTTTCTACACTATTCACTACCCCTACTATTTTTCTCTTAAATATTGTGCCAAACCCTACTGTAACAAACACTAGAATATGGAGCGAGTATATTATATAATTTGATCAACTATTTATCACCTGTCAACATCTGTATCAAAGATGATCCCTAAATCAGCATTATTATCCAGTACAGCCTGAGTGATTGCTTTCATGGCTGTCTTATCCTCTGGGTTAGGAATGTGGTTTGGAAACATACCTATTTTATAAGCTTATTGTCAGTTTGTTTAGGCTTAGCTATAACTTCATGCACAGGTGATGCTTCTTTAATTTGTTTAGATAGCACAGTTTTAAGCTTATCTTTACAAGCCATTCCATAGAGCTAGTAAAAATAAAATAAAATCAGGTTTTTTATTGGTGGGGGGGGGGGGGGGGGGGGGTCAAACGCTAGAACCCACTTTAACTTTCAGGTTACATCTTACCATCTGGCTCTAGGAACTGGCTTCCAGAAGTGATAGCACCCAAAGGCTCGAGAACTTTTCCCTGATAAACCCAGCATAATAAGTAACCATCATATCAGCAAACCATTTATTAGCATTTAACAAAACACCTGCTATGTTACACCAAGCCAAGTAACCACTTTGCTGATCACCATTTGCAATAAATACCTTCAACCTGACCAATTCAGTAAATCTTTCTCTTGTTTCTAAATATAACTCAAAAAGATTTGGGCTTTTCGGGAACTGGTAGGGAATCACAAATTTCCTTTATTGACAAAAAAACAGGTAATACAATACGGAATGAAATAACAATGAGGGAGCGAGAGTTTTCCTATTTTAATATGCTATTCTAATAATTTCTCATTTATGTTGAAATAAGAAATCTCAGAGGGATGCTACTGCAACTCTGCAAGAGTGATAGGGAACGGAATGTTTTCCATTACCTATCATGCTAATTAAGTTTAAACTTTTATTTTTGTATGAACCGATTACACAGGGATGAAAAAAATACTACTCCATATGAGAATGCAACATGACATTTTATCTTACAGCGAAAAATCCTCCAGCTCCATTCCCTGCATCAACAACTATATGGAACCCCTCCAACGGCTTTTCTGATAAAATTAATGATATTTTCAAATGAATACTTTATTAAAAATAAATTTTAATAGCAACAAATCTGTATTATCAACAATTACCTATACCACCCACAGTTCTACGAACAGCTGCTACAAGATTAGATGTGTAAACAGACATGTAGTCAACCCTTCTGAAAGAAAGGGGTGTTTTCTGGTCTGCATTTACCAAATCTTCATCAGCAAACTTCTTATATATATTTACAGCACGAGCCAGGATATCCTTGATGTCTGATTTTCCAAGTCCTCCAGCATTCGTGAAAAATTTAAACCCATTCCTATTGTAAGGAAGATGACTCGCTGTATTCAAACAAGTTACGGTGAGTGAAACAAACCAGCATACATTTAAATGTTCCTAGCTTAATTTTGAAAATTTAGGTTTTCATAACTTCCTGACATTTGGGAAAGAGCAGATCAATAGACTCACCAGTTATCATGATGGATCCATCAGCGGGACACAAATAGTCTTCATTATCTGTAAGAGTGCTATAGAACATGGCTGGTGTTGAAGCTAACCTATGAAACACCAAATAATGCAATGTCAGGGAGTTCATTACTTTAATTGCACAAATACTAGAAGTTCTTTGATTTCTTTCTGGGAGCAGTGACGGTGAATTTTAAGAAGTAGTGTTCTCAAAATACATGTTTGAAGCAATAATAGTGCTTATGGGTTTGTAATGTTAAATTGTGACAAGGCCACAAATGAAATCAAATAAGAATATATAAAATAGTAATTTTGCATATGACTAACTCATTTTTATTTAAACCCATGATAAATAACAACATCCCAGCCTTATTCTCAAAAGAAAAATAATTTATAATATTGAAATATTCAAGATAATGTGAAATTGTGAATATGTTTTAGTTTTATTTGTTAATATTATAAATAAAAATTTAAATTATAAGTTTATTAGTTTCATATTTGGTTGATTAAATGAGGGTGTTCAGACCACTAGAATGTCGTCACTGCTCCAAATATTCTCTCAAATGAAGCTTGAGTAATGTAACAAGGATGATAAAACCCCATTGTTCCTTACCAGTAGCACTTCACCTTACTAGTGGATAATCTGAGCACCAAATTGATTTGACAAGTGATAAATTCAATACCATTTACTTTCACTATAGAAAATTTAAATTTCTTTTAATTTTTTACAAGAGGTTGTAAAAAAATTATACGGTGTTTCACTACAGAAAGACATCACTGACCCATATTGGATGACTTCAGCTCCAGCACGCGCAAGTCCTAGAGAAACAGCATCCTGAAGAGAGATTCTTACTTGGTAAACAAAATAATCAAAAAAACAAAACATCCATAAACAAGGACTGTATCACAAGCAGAGCTGATTCTGGCACTCAAAAACTACTTTTTTTTGGATAAGGAGAGAAATACACAAGAAAGTAGGGTAGAAAGATACAGGAAAGGAGAAAATGAACGGAAACTGTATATAGTTTTACGTTGTTTGCCTGTTTCAATTGAGAGAAGTAGAAGATGAAGAAGAGGAAATGTGTGGTGCAAAGAAATATATTTATCCATTACAACACATCTATGTTACGGTAGTGTTCGCGTATGTTTGTGCATGTGAGAAGTTATTAACTTTATAGATTATAGAAAGTACTTAATAGTAAACGAGGGTAGTGGTTGAAAATAAAAGCGATTTTAAAAAGTAGAAATTGAAGTGAACAAGTACTTTTTGGTGTATTAGTTGGTTAAAATATTACAGAAAAAGTAGGAAGCAGTTTCAAGCACCCTCCTGCCTCTTACTTGTAACTTTTTACTTTGAAGTGCTTAAAGTTGAGCTGCTAATTAAAAAACACTACTTTTATCTTTTTTAAATCAAAAGTAGAAAAATGCATTAAAAAAGATCTTGCAAACACTGCCAAAGTATAAAATAAAATTATTAAAAAGGGCACTTCACTTTGTATGTGTCTGACAATTGCTTTTTCCTTCACTCTCCAAAATTTGTTAGTTATGAGAAGTTTTTTTATTAAATATGGGTCACATTAATTCTTTTCTGGATAGTGGTCCGTTTAGTGACGAGGATTTTAGTCCAAAATCTCCTTTAGGAATAAAGAGCTTAAAAAAAATCCAAGTGCTTGAAATAAGCATCATAAAATGTGTGCTCTTAACGCGCAAAAAAAAAAAGTTATGTATAGGCAAGGAGGAAATACCTGCAACTTCTTTGCTGAAATTCGTGAATCATGACCGACAGATATTCTCAATGATCTAGACCCATCATGTTTCTTTTTATCAAGCAACCATGCAGCAAATGCTGCTGCTATTGCTTCGGTAACTGGCTCTGTGAGGTTAACATCTTCTCCCTCAACACCAGCTACAGCAACACCTCGTATATCACTACACCATAAAAAGAAATATCCAGTCACCAACTACAAAATCAAGAAAATACGCTTAGTAGGGAAAATAAAATGATAAATAAAACAGATGAACACGGAAACATACCTTCCATTCTGAAGCTTATAAAAGTCCAACTGTTCACGAGAAAGTACAGATGTGTTAGATGGTGCAGCTGCACGAAAATAATATTTAGTTGATGATCTTGAAGTGGAAGCAGAAAATATATATCAACAGTTACATTTTCTATCCTGGGAAGGATCTAATTAATTGCATTGCAGTAAAGAGGAAGGTAAGCATTCAGAAGTAGTAATAATCTCCAGAACAGAAGGCGGTTGGCAAAAGTAGTCCAGTTGGATATCTTTTCAGCAATTTTGACCTATATCTTTCAAATGTCGACTGTTTGATATCGAAATTACCAAAACACTAAAAAACGTTATGAGAAGTATCATTCAAATTATTGAACAAGTGAAAAAGGATGAATGCTAATGGTCTGTTATTTCCTTTTGAACCCTTAACAATTACATTTTCTGCATTTTAAAATTTAATAAATTGACAAGTTATCAATTATCATCAATTCACTGAATCTCTAAACCAAACAGTATTTTCTAACAAAAATCGTAACTTTTGCTGGTAGCGGGACTAAATTTTGACATTTCAAAGGCATATGTCTAAGTAGCCCAAGAAAGGCAACATAAGTACTTTAGCGAGCCCCCTATTGTTATAGGACCAAAATGCAGTGAACCTAAAAACAATAGAATATTCTGACTTTTCCAAAAGATTGGATGCCAATGGTTTGATGACTGAATTGTGAGAGTCTAGAACAAACCATTGCAATAAAAAATCGCCTGGTTAAATTTTGACAAGGCACAAGGTTGCATGGTGGAGTTGCCATTCCATGCCAACTTCATTGCAAAAGAGGAGCGAAGGTTATGCCTAGTAAGGTTATAATGGTCCTTTCGGTATTGGGTGCTGAACTTTTGGTTCTGCTGGCAGCACCTTGCTACCAGAGTGTGTTGGACAAGCTTTCCTGATAATTCTGCACAAATTTGAAAATTTGAGTGTTGTAAAGTTTATGATTGATAATAAGTTAGATAAATGTGGAAATATTATTATTACTATTATTATTTTTACACGCAATTTAAAAGAATATATGTTTTTTGTTGTGAAAATACTTATTTTGAGCAATGCTGCTAATCCAGTTATCCAGCTTCAAAACATGTGCCCACTTCTCACCAACCCTAATTGAGGGGAAACCAGCATAAACTGCATGCCTTTCACTACTAATGTACTAATTTGGCTTCTCCAAAATCATGATAATGTGACTTAGTTCTTTTTCCCCACCATATTTATCAAATCTCTCTGATGTATAGGAAAACTTAAAATAATATGTTACATGTGTTTTGAAATAATCTGTAAACAATACTGAGTAAACTATTAAATTTGCATAGTTTAAACAATACTCATTTTCAACTTTATGAATTAAACAAAGCATGAGATTCATTTTTTGTTATAAATGTCTACATAAAAGATAATTTGAGGGAAAACAAAAGATAGATTTAACAGAAATTGCCCTAAATATGAGTATAAACAGTGTGTTTTCCTAAATAGTAGTAATATGTTTTCCCCAAAATAACTATGCAAGGTTGTTAAGATCATGTGTCAACTCGTAAGACCGTCCGATCTTACGAGTAAGGTGTGTTTGGGCGATTTGGATTGTGCTTACGATCAGATGTTATGGCTGGAGCATATGAGTTCAAGATGACATTAATTTACTCCTTTTTAAAGGAAAAAAACACATTACTCCTATTATCCTATTTAGGGGATCACATTGTTTTTATTTCTATTTTTGAGAAACTTCCCTATATTTAAACACATTAAATCTACTCCAGATATCGGATAAACCCAAAACTATATTGGAAATGCAGAGAAGATAAACAATAGTACAGGAAGAAAAATGAAGAAGCCCATAAAGAGAAGTTTCATTTTTTATTCATTCGTCCTCCACAAAGGATACAAACAAAGATTTATATAGTACTCCGTAAATTAAAACTATCACACTAACTCCCCCAGACTCCCACTACTTGAAACCTCCAACAAACTTAACCAAATAATAATAACAACAGCTGAACAGCAACAAAAATACTAGGGTCCATGTGGTGGTTCACCGATAATTGTTTTAAGTTCTAACTTATTTTATCTACGTAAAACTTATATTAATACTAAAATACTAACTCCATCCCGCTATCTTCTGGTAAATATGAAAGTGCAGGTGCATTAAGGAAAGTGAAATGATGTGTTTGATGTTGAATTATGAAAGTATGAATGAGTTTGAACCACACAAATAATATTGAATATGGTATGGCCGTATGGGACAAGGTTAGGGAGACGGACATAAAAGAAATAGAGAGACAATGACAATGGGAATGAGGGAGTACTGAGATATCTTACTTTACACACACACACACACATATTACGTAGTATTGTAGTAATAGTAATCATGTAGGATTGTAGATCATTTGTGTTTTCACTTTGGATGGTAAATCGAAACAGAAGAAAACTGTTTTCCTAAAGTATGTGTTTGGACACCAGAAAATGTGAGGGAAAGGGAAAATTGTTAGTTGAGATTGAATTTACCACATAAAATAAAATAAAAAATGAAATTAAATTAATGTTAGGATTTTTACGAGCTTTTAGATTTCTTAGTATTCATGCAAATTGACAAATAAAATGAGTTTGAACCAATATCAGAAATAAACTATTATTGAGTTTGAACACATGCTTTATTTTCCTTGACATTTTATTTCCTTCAAATTTCCCTGACACATTTCTTTCTATTTTATTTCCCTTTTACTTTCATACTAGCATTTTTTCCTTTCCCTGATATTTTCTAAAATCGTAAGTAAAAAACTATAACAAAGAAGCCATGAAGACAAAAGGTAACAGTAAGCTGATTATATTAACCTAATGGTTCACATAAGCAAGCAATAGTCAGCTGATTATCATATTAAAATGAGTGGGGGGCAGACAGCTCCAAAATAACATATCAATAATTCCGCTGAAGCAACAGTCGTATTTACTCTAATTTCACATCACAAAGACATTACAATGAAATAAATAGTTCAGATAATTGAGATAGGCCATTCCCTCGTTTTTCAATACCGAGTACGCAGTATTCAGAGAAGCGTTAGGGATCAACGGTAAGTGGTTGAAGAATATGGCAGTGAATAGAATCCAAGAATTTACAAATGCTAAAGATTTGAATTTTACCTGATGCCATTCGCAGAAGCTCGAACAGAGAGGAGTATGGGATGCTGGTTTGGGAAGATATACTGACTCACTGGTCTTTCCTCCTTTTCTTGGGTTTGGGTAGGTGGAATGAGAAAGAAATGGCGTGTTTACTAAATTACTACCGGCTCCCACCCTAAAACTTTGATGACTTTCTTTTTTTGGATGTTCCACTAACTTTGACATTTTCTTATTTAAGTTAAGAATTTGTGGTTCCAGTTAATTTTCTCTCCTCTGCACAAAACTCAATCACACAATTTTTACTTTATTAATCCTTGTGCCGGTCAAACTTGGCAAAGTTTTAAGGGACGGAGGGAGTATTTTCTATCTCCAATTTTTTGTTTTTGTCGTCAAATGAAGAAGATGAAGGGCAAATTAATGAGATAGAAATAGATAAAAAATCTCTAAATTACTTCTTCTTAATATCTGAATATTTTCTGAATTTCTAAGTACATTTACAAAGGGTTGATCACCCTGATGGAGTATATGGCCGAGGAACCCTCGGCCCATAGACTCCCACTACTATAGCGAAGGCCCAATAGGCCCAGGAAGCACAGCGAGCCCAAATCACAGCGCCCCAAGTACCAAACAGCCCACGACGAACACTGGGGTGCCTTCGGCCCCCTGACCGAAGGCTCATAAACTTACAGCACAGCTTCTTTAAAGCACTCTCAAAGTGTCTGGGAGAAGGCGACGACAACAGTAGCCCTCGGCACCTAGAGGCCCCCGGGATGAAGAGCCTTCGGACAATCATCTACGGCCGAGGGAATCTCCTCGACAGAATCTCCCACCCACATGCGTCGGATCAACGTACCGAGTACAAACGTCACATCCAACCACCGCATTTAATGCGGCCACATGCGAGTGCCACCCCGTTGAGGTGACCCCTCGACCACCAGAATGATGACACGTGTCACTATCTGGCATTTATTACTACTATAAATAGCACCCCTTTCCCCATTTGTAATCCAGGCTCAATACGTCCAATACATTCTCAGCAATATATATTCTCACTCTTACTTTTGTTCTGACTTCTCTCTAGTTACTCCCCGCAGTAACCCTCGGATAGATACCCTCCGGGTACACTTATCCATCATTTGGTGCTCTCGTTGAGAGGTCGAACAATCAAGTAAGAAACCCTCCCCTTCAGCTAAAAACACCTACTAAAATGGGAAGAACCACTCGTACTAAGTCCAAGAACCTTGAGGACAACAATCTGGCCCTCGGTGAAGTCAACGCCCCCGGAGCCTCTAACAAGGCTCCCGAGGGCGGGGTCATCACTGAGTTGGAACAAGCTGCTGTTGACCTGCACCTTCAGCTCCAGCAAAACGCTCCCGATGCCCACCTTGGCATCGAAACCCGAAGGAGGGACCGGAGCAAAAATCAAGTGAGCCCTCCGGTTCTCACTATCGACGTACAATCGACATTCTCTGCCTTCATCCAGACACTCACTCAAAACCCAGGTGCCTTCGACACTCTGGTACCCCTTCAACCGCAAATCGGGGAGAACGCTGTTCTTCTCCCACGGCCACCCCCCTTCGTGAACCCTACCCCTCAGGTGGGGAACGACGAAGGGGTCGTGGCTCAAGACGCCGCTTCCCAGGAGGTCCAATCCCGGGACCAATGCAGTGCGAACAAAGAAAGGCCTCGGACCTTAGCCCCTGAGAGGCTCGGAGGAGCGCAAGACCGCCGAGGGGTCCAAGACCGCCTCGGTGGAAAGGCGTCCCAAAGACCCCAAGAGAGCGGGGGATCCGTCTCAAGGGCAGACGAGAGGCGTCCCCATCAGGACAAAGGCAAGGCACCACTTCATGCCGATGACGCAAGGCATCAAATCAATCAGGCCCACTCGGCCCGTGTTCGTTCGCAGGGGGCGGAGGCCCCCCCGAAGGATCCTCGGGACGAGATCATTGCGGCCCTCCAACGCCGGCTTGACGAGATGGAGGCCCATCGGGCACATACCGCCGTCACCACCCCTCATACAGATCCCAAATATGAGGCCATGCTGGCCAAGATGGAGGAGATACAGAAAAAGATGGCCGAGGGATCCAGGGAACCCACCATACAGCTCCGGACCCGAACGCCATTTACCCCAAGGGTATTGGCGGCCCGGATCCCGGAGAAATACCGAGGGCAACTCATCAAGCCCTACGACGGGAAGACTGACCCCCAGGAGCACTACAGTAGATATCAGAACAGCATGATGATGGTGGGTGCGTCGGATGAATATTTGTGCCGCTGGTTCCTTTCCACCTTAGAGGGTCCGACCTACGAATGGTTCAACCGATTGCCCGAAGGCTGCATTGACTCATGGCAAGAACTCGCTCAGCGTTTCTTGACACAGTTTGCGGGGAGACGCCGGACAAGGAAGCATTTCTCCCACTTGCTCACGGTGAGACAGAAGAAGGAAGAGGCCCTTCGGGATTTCTTGGAGCGCTGGAGGACGGAGGCCGACAAAGTTGACGACGCCGATGACGGGACCCTCTTGGCCCTCCTTCAGATCGTCCTCCGCACCGGAAACTTTTCAAGGAGCCTCATCATCGAACCTCTCCGCGATTACATAAGGGCCCTGCAGCGGGGGGACCGTTACGCCGAGGCCGAAGAGGTAGAAAAATATCATCTCATCCCCGATCAACAACGCCCTCGGTTAGATGACAAAGGCAACCGGGGGTCGGGGGCTCCCACAAATCAATCCAAAGGCCAGGCACCCCCCGGTGATCGCCCCCGGCACGGCCAAGCCAAGCCCGAGGGAGGTTACAAGGGTCACCCGAAGACTTGGGCACAACCTGTTCTCCTGGAGCACCCTCGGACACCCTTGACGCACCCCGTCAGCATCATCCTCGACTTCGCTGAGGAGAGGGGCCTAGTAGAGCGAGATTCTCGCGCACCTCCGGAAGTATATGCCATCAATCCAAACTACCCCTACTGTCGCTTCCACCGACATCAAGGGCACAAAACCGATGACTGCCATCAGCTGAAGACAGCCATCGAAAGGTTGATACAGGCAGGCCACCTGTCCCAATTCATCAGAGGCCCTCCGCCTCAAGGGACCCCTCACTACCAGGGCCCCCCTAAGAAAGAAAACGCTTGGCTTAACGCAAACACCACCCCCCTCGGCGACCCGAAGGGTAAGAAAAGGGAAATTGGAAACCTCGATGAGGAGGAAGAGTACAGCCAGTACCAGGAAAAGAAGCGCCACATCCATATGATCACTGGAGGTAACACTGGGGGGACTTCACAAGCCAGCGAAAGAAGTGGGCTCAATCGCTATACGTGGGGGAAGTCACTCATTTGCCCCCGGTAAAGCGGCTGAGGGAGGAAACCATCACCTTCACCAACGCCGATCTCCCCACGGTTTCCTCCCCACACAGGGATGCCCTCGTCATCCGTACGGAGATCAATGACACCATCATCCACAAAACTTACATTGACACGGGCAGCTCCGTCAATGTGATGTACCTCAGCACATTCAGAGAGCTGCATCTGTAGAGGGGGTCCCTTCGTCCCATCAAGACCCCTCTCGCCGGCTTCACCGGAGACACCATTGATTCCGAGGGGGTCATTACCCTCCTGGTACTATTCGGCGACGGGCTCCATAGAGCCAAGCTCAAAGTGGAGTTCGTCGTCGTCAACATCGACTGCACCCATAACATCATCCCCGGCAGACCAGCCCTCGAGGACCTCGAAGCCATCATCTCCATGAGGCATATGTGCCTCAAGTTCCCCGCCAAGGAGGCATCGGGTACTCAAGGGGGAATCAAAAACTTGCCCGCGCTTGCTACCTTCAAGTGACAAAGAAGGTTAGTAAGACCGAGTTCCGTGTTGACACCATCACCGGAACCGTGGAGGAAGAAGAGAAAAGGCCGAGAGCTGAGCCCGCTGAGGAAGTAGAAGACTTCGCACTCGATCCGGCCAAGCCGAAGAGAGTTGTGAAGATTGGAGCCAAGCTCCCCGAAGACCTGAAGACCGGCATAACTGAAGCCATCCGCGCCTACTCCATTGTTTTTGCATGGGGGCCGGAGGACATGCCCGGAATCAGCCGAAGGGTCATCACCCACTGCCTCTCGATGGACCCTTTGGTCAAACCTATACAACAGCGAAGGAGACCCCTCTTGGCCGAGAGAAGGGATTTTGTGAAGAAGGAGGTCGTCATGCTCCTCTCCGTCAAGCACATCAAGGAGGTAAAATACCCCTCATGGCTGGCTAACGTAGTCCTCGCACAAAAGCCGCCCATCTTCCGCATGGGCGTGGACTACACTGATTTAAACAAGGCGTGCCCCATGGACCCCTTCCCATTGCCAAATATTGATCAACTGGTGGATGAGACCGCGGGGTGCGAGATCATGTCCTTCCTCGATGCCTTCCGAGGATATCACCAAATTTTCATGCACGAGGAAGACGCCGAAAAAACATCCTTCATGACTCCCGAGGGCATCTTCTGCTACCTTGTCATGGCCTTTGGCCTTAAGAACTCAAGCGCCACTTACACCCGGATGGTGGCCAGAGTCTTTGAGGCTGTTCTAGGGCGCACCATGGAGGCCTATGTTGACGACATGATCGTCAAGAGCAAACAATCATCCAGCCATGCTGATGACCTCCGGGATATCTTTGCCATCATGCAAAAGTTCAACCTTCGGCTAAACCCGAAGAAATGCACCTTCGGCGTGCAAGGAGGCAAGTTTTTAGGCTACATGGTGAGCCGAAAGGGGATTGAGGCCAACCCCGAGAAAATCCAGGCCATCACCAACATGGAGCCCCCACGCAACGTGAAGGAAGTCCAACGGTTGACGGGCCGCCTAGCAGCCCTCAACCGCTTCCTATCCAAATCGGCGTAGAAGTCCCTACCTTTCTTCCAGACCATGAGGAAGACCGCTGGCTTTCAATGAACCTCAGAGTGCCAGGAGGCCTTCGACGAGCTGAAACGATATTTATCTTCACCCTCTGTGCTCTCCAAACCCAAGGTAGGGGAAACCTTGTACCTTTACCTTGGTGTTAGCCCGGCAGCCATCAGCTCAGTACTCATCTGGGAAGAAGATGGCGTCCAGCATGCCATCTTCTATGTTAGCAAGACCCTCAGGGAAGTGGAACTCCGGTATTCCCCTGTGGAAAAAATGGTGCTGGCTATTGTCTGGAC